TGTGTTTAATTAAGATACGTTTGATATGCAGCGGTGGGACGCGGGTCAACCGATCGCGGTGTCTCGGAGCTGATCAAATTGTAATAATTTTTATCGCGTTGCCAATATACCGTGTGTATTTCGGTCGATATCTCGCGCGTGTGTGCAATATCTAATTCCGTAGCCCGGGGACTCTGGTGTGTTCTATATAGCGTATCGCGATAAGCTCAGCGCCCGGAGTTTTTCCCTAACCTTCCTTTTACCTCGTGTTTCCGAATTACCTAATACTAAGTAAAACTTAACGAAAGCAAAGCGTGGTTGTAAAGCTAGCGGAAAAGTATCTTACCTGTCACGTACTTGACCGGTGATTCCTTTTCGGGGAGCCAATTTTGACGCGGCACACAGGTGATGGTGTGTGTGTGCACGGTCGCGGTGCGGTGAACCGAAATTGAATATTAAAAAAAAACAACTTCGACTTATGGTGACACAAAATGTGTATTTATGTGGACACACAGTTTAGGTTGAAGAGAAAAAAAAAAATAATAATAATAATGATCACAATAACGTCCACCGTAAAAAATATCACAATGAAAGAAAAAGATAATTATGTGAGTCGAGAACGTGAGTTGTGTCTCGGTACACGATCTCGGAAAAACAGCCCGGTTAAATGGTGGTACCTGTCGGACGTCGTAGCGACCGCTCGCGTCCCCTGTCCGGTGATGGATGGGTGGACGGGGGTCGCTGCGGCGTTGCGTGCCTCGGAGTGGCGGTTGATGAGAAAGATAAGAACACGGTCGGCGACTGCCGTTTCGATAACGGCTGCCGCACGGGTCCGCGTCATAGTATTGATGGCTATTGTTAACAGTAATTATGAATTTACGTATGTTGATGTCGGGAAAAATGGAAGAATATCGGATGGTGGCGTTATTGAAAGTACAATATTTTATGAATTATTAAACCAGGGAAAATTACACCTACCCAAAAACGAGGATACTGTAAAAAAAATGAATTTCGTTTTTCTCGCTGACGAAGCTTTTTCGTTGAATGAAAATATTCTGAAACCGTACTCTCAACGAGAATTAGATTACGAAAAACGAATATTTAATTACCGATTGTCAAGGGCTAGGAATTGTGTGGAAAATGCTTTTGGTTTGATTGCCGCAAGGTTTAGAGTATTGCAAAGTGCTATACATTTAGCCCCAGAAAAAGCCACTTATATAGTATTAGCCATATGCATTTTGCATAACTTTTTAAGAAAACGTGGTGGCTCATACATTTCAAGTTCTACGTTTGATAGAGAAGATAATGATCATATTTTACAAAACGGTGAATGGAGAGATTCCAACAGTCAACTTCATGGTTTACAACCCACTCGTAATGCCTCCGTTTCTATGCGTGCCAAAATGAATCGAGAGCAATATAAGGATTTTTTTAATAATGAGGGTTCTGTGGAATGGCAAGACAATATTCTTAAATTGGGAAGAGCCTAACATTATGAAATAAAATAATTTTTTTTCATTGTATTACATTTTGTAAATTGTAGTTGTTTACATACCTACAATAGTAAGATATTATCATATCAATTAAATATCTTTAATATTTGATACATGTATTTGTAAATGTATATATATATATATTCTTTTTTTAATACCTACCAAACTTATAAAAACTGTTTGTTTACGTTCATCAACAAAAAAAGAATTTATAAGGTATTAAAATGGTTAAGTATACACTTAAATAATAACATTAGTATTCATTTTAATTTTTAAACATTTAAAGTAGGTACCTACCTATTTTTTTTTTTTGTAATTTAACTAATTATAGGTAGAGAATCCATTAAATTAGAAATAATTAACTATAATAATAATTATTATATAAATGAAAAAAAAGTTTTATTCAACTTAAATTTGTTGTACCTACTATGTTTAAGGAATATATTTATCATTTTTTAAAATAATTTAAAAAAATTAATATTTAAAACTACTTACATCATCATTATTTTGTTCATCATTTGTTTCCTCGTTGCAACTATCAGACCGAATGTTACATATACTGTTTGATGGAGTTTCTTGGTCTATGGTGAATTGTAATAAATTATAATACCAGAGAGTTGGCTCATAAATTTGATCGTGTGCACTAACAGAACGTTTTGAATTTAAAACTTTTTTTAGTTCTTTCCTGAAGGAACCTCGAAGGCCTTGGATTTTTTTGACCACGAACTCACGGTTTGCTTCAGGATGAATTGTTTTACATAATTCGGTTAGTTCGTCATACGCGGCACTTTTTAAGTTTTTGTTTAAGTACTCTTTTGATTTAATTTTCCAAAGACAAGGA